AATTTAAATCTTGCTGCAAAATCTGAATCAGCTGCCATTTCGAAGCAACAGGTAAAGATGAGATATTATCTTTATTGGATTCGTTATTATTATTGAATATTTTTAGAGTAGAGTTTTGGATGTCCCAACTTGTATTTGTATTTTGCTGGCACGTTGGCGTCCCTTTTCTTTTGTCCTCCAGAATGTCACATGGAAGAAAGGACATATTCTTTATTATTTAGTGAGCCCTCGGAAGTAATTCGAGGTAGGTTCGTTTTGTTTATTAGACCTTGTTTGATTTTAAACAAGAGTTTCGTATTTTTAGGGTCCAAGGTACGGACTATTTCCAAGGTACAGGCATTATCCAAAGTCCTAGTAGTGTTCCAAGGTACGGGTAGTATTCCCTTGTACCATTATCTTATGGACGGATGTCCCGTGGACGAGTGTCCCCAGTAGGAGTGATTTATCTTACATATAAAGTGCCCCAGCGTGGATGTAGCTTGAGCCCCATGCTGCTTGGTTCCCATCTATAAGCCAGTTAGTAGTTACGGCTGTATCAATTCATGGTGTCCTCATTCTGGCCCCTTTTGTTGTATTGGATGGCCGAGTGCAGAGATGCGAGACCACCTCACGCTGCTACTCTTCGAAACAGGATTGCCTCAAGAACAGCTAACTGTAGATTTAGGTTCAGATTTTCAGTCGATTTTCAGTTTTAACTTAACGTACATTTTAAATAATATCGTACAGACTATATTTAGTGGTTAGATTATTAAGAACATTTATGTCGATTTAGTATTTAAAATATGATTTAGATCTTAGGTTTCATTACATTATGTCTTGTAATGGTATTACCTTTACAGATATTTAGTACAACTCTTAACACCACTTTCTTTGACATATAACCACTATAATAATTATTAAAATTGTACAATGCTATTTACCATCACAGTCCATCTTGAATAAATATAGTCATTAGTTATATTTTTTTGTTTATTGTTATTAATTAGTTTTCTTTCCAGTGAAATACCTTATCCACGACTGCTCTCCAATGAAAAGCTGCCGTTCGCAGTGGTAATGTTTATAAAAAAACGTTACACAACTAATACATAGCTCGGGATGTCTACTACCAGAAATCAACAGAAGAATTAAGTTAGCATAGAGTACTTTTGGAAGAAACTCAATCGTATTCAAATCTAGAGTACCACTCTAATCTAAAGCAGAAAACATTCGACTAAGGTGTACTACCAGTCATAATCTATCCATGCGAAACCTGGACACTTAAAACGGATGTTATAAGGAAACTGCACGTCGCACAACGCTCAATAGAATAAAGTATGCTGAGAATAACGAAGAGAGACCGTAAAAGAATAGACTGGATAAGACAAAAGATCCAGGTAATAGATGTTATCCACAAAATTCGATCACTCAAATGGCAATGGCAGGACACCTCGTAAGAAGAACGGATAACAGATGGATCACAGATCACAGAAGTTACAGCATGATATTCACGAGAAATTAAAAGACCTAGAAGAAGACGGAACCTGAAATGGGACTCTGATAGGTCATTAGCAGATATAACTTGGGTCCGCATAGCCAACAACAGACAATGAGCTCAACTACAATGAGAGTATCTAAATATGTGAGGGAGGCTACACTATAATTGAAAATAGTTGAATATGCTGAAAATGATGACGATGATGATGAAATAATTATGACTTTGTGTTGAAGTTAAAATTGTGTATTATTTGTTCTAAATCTGACTGTAAACTTTGTTTATTTGGTGTATGTAAACAATTACTGTAAATTGTGATATATGAATATTTCAAATTGGATTTGAAACAAATTTGCCTAACCTTCGAAAAACACAACATCTTTTCCTAAAATAATTCCAAAAAAGACACGTAATTGAATAAATCATTGCATTTGAATTTTATACCCTGATCAAGTTTATTCTCAAACACACTACAACACCGGGAAGAAATTGTTAAAGTAATCAAAAAAATATATTTTTAGAAACGTAACTAGAAAATTCAATTTCTGAGTATTCACTGTGAGAGAACTTCATGCCCTGTAGCTTACAGCTCACCGTTATCGTAACATTCATACATGATCTCCGAAATATCCAATAAAAGCACGCTACTTACATTGAACAATCAGTTCGACCGGCGCGCTGTGCGACTCGCCTTCGGAATTTCTCGCTTAACATGCATATTTTCCTGCCGATTTCTGGCCAATATTTTTTATGCTCAAAAGGTCGAGATGGGAAGGACGCGTTCAGCCTCACGATTTAATGACCTCACGTGATACTTTATTTGTTTATTTATTAACGATTCGTTTTAATTTTCCTTATAGCTTGTAAATTTTTAAGTACATATTAGAAAAAATTGCACTTTTGATAAAAATAAGTGAAATTGAGGTGGTGTTCGCCAGTGGTCGCCCTATAAGAACTCTGAACTCAAAAATCGATATCTTGAAATCCATTTGAAATTATTGATTGTAGTTTTTTTCAAAATTTTTTTAATATTTCTGCTATATTTTCTTCGCAGCCAGTATGTGAAAATCTTTATAAATAAAAAAGTTACACGATTGCTATGCACTAAAAGTAAATGAAAGAAAAGACAACCGTCAATACTCACTGACCAGAATGGCAAAATCATTATGGAAATGGAAGAAAAACTAAGAACGTGGAAGAATTACATAATAGAATTGTTGGATGATGAGAGAGATATAAACAGAATAGTAACAGAACAAGAAAACAGCGGACCGGAAATAACTAAAGAAGAGAAAGATGGAAAAGCCGCAGGGCCTGATGAGTTACCCTCTGAAATTCTCAAGTTGATAGAAGAGGAAATCATACACAGTCTAACAGATCTGTTCAACACCATATACAGAACAGGTATTATACCCAGGGAATGGTTGCTATCAGCGTTCGTCACTATCCCGAAAAAACATAATGCAAAACAATGCACAGACTTTCGAACAATCAGTCTAATGAGTCATATGCTAAAAATACTTCTGAAGGTCAAAATACATCACAGGATTTACAAAACATTAGAACAGGATATCAGCGAGATTTAATTCGGTTTCCGAGAGATGGCTTACGCACAAGAGAAGCACTATTTGCTTTGAACGTTCTCGCCCAACGATGTATGGATATGAATCAGGATCTCTATATATGTTTCATTGATTACAACAAAGCCTTCGATAGGGTCCGACACGAACAACTTATCCAGCTTCTGAAAGAAAAGAACTTGACTACAGAGATATAAAAATTATTACGAATCTTTATTTTAATCAAAAAGCAGTGGTAAAAATAGAAGGAAATAACACCGGAGAAATAGAAATCCGTCGAGGCGTTAGGCAGGGGTGCGTGCTATCACCGATGTTATTTAACCCCTATTCAGAGGAAATATTGAAACGAGCATTGGACGATGAAACGAAAGGACTAAAAATTAACGGAGTGACTATCAACAATATAAGATATGCGGATGATACGATCCTGATGGCTGCCAACCTAAACGATTTACAGATATTAGTAGATAAAGTTAATACATCGAGTGAAGAGCTCGGACTGTCACTAAATGTAAAAAAGACAAAATTTATGATAATATCCAAAACAACACAAGACAATTCACAAATTCATATAAATAACCAAACCATAGAAAAAGTTGACAGTTATAAATACTTAGGTACAATTGTAAATAAAAATAACGACTGTTCTGAAGAAATTAAAACTAGAATAGGACAGGCGAGAACAACATTTGTGAAAATGAAAAGAGTGCTCTGTGGCAGCGATCTCAGCTTGGAGTTAAAAATCAGAATGGTACGATGCTATGTTCTGTCGGTGCTGTATTATGGTGTAGAGGCTTGGACTTTGAAGAAACTTGACATAAGGAAACTAGAGGCATTCGAAATATGGTTGTACCGTAGAATACTTAGGGTAAAATGGACCGATAAAGTGACCACCATGGAAATCCTGAAAAGAATAAAAAAGGAAAAAGAAATTATCATAACGGTAAAAAAGCGTAAACTTCAGTACCTTGGACACGTCATGAGAGGAGAAAAGTACCACCTACTCCAACTGATATTACAAGGAAAAATTCAAGGAAAGAGAAGTGTAGGAAGATGGATGAGAAACTTACGTGACTAGTTCGGGTGCACCACAAATCAACTATTTCGGTCGGCTGTGTCACGAATACGTATAGCACTGATGATTGCCAACCTTCGCTACGAAGAAGGAATTTGAAGAAGAAGAAAAGTAAATGGATGGGGTTGTTTGGATGATTTTTGGATGGAAAAAACAAGCCTATCGAATTTTTCTTATTTAGACATCTTGTAAAAGATCTGAACTTCAAAATAAGAAAAGAAGTTTCAATATCTAATATAGTTCTTGAATTATCGCGTGTTATGTGTTAAAAAGTTTAGTTTTTAAATTATCGTGATTACTGACGTTTTCTCATTATAAAAAATTGACGCCCTAACGATATCCTTATAATTCAATTTCAGATACTCAAAAATATATCTAACGATTTTATCTAGTTATCTTTTCGAAAAAAAAGTATGTTAAAAATAAGCTGTTTGCGATCCTGATTTTACTTTACATGATAGGGAAAGGCGTATCGGAGAAATTGTAGCAACGCCGCAACAGCACACCGTCAACATGTAAATACCGACCCAAAGGTAAGACTTGCCAGCACAGTATATACAATTTTCCCATCTTTCAAAAAACAAAACATTTCATTCTAATTTCCAAAAATAAATCCGTCTCCAAGACACAGATATCTCCAAAAACACGTGTCTCTAAAAATCATTACGTTTCAATTTTGTCCTTCGATCAAGTTTATAAACCAAACCAAAGAAAAACTGTTAGAAAAAAAAACTATAATAATATTTTTAAATATAACTAGAAAATTCAATATGTCTATGGCGTTCACTATCATAGAACTGTAACCTACAGCGTACAGTTATCGTAACGTTCATTCATTATCACAAGAATACCCAATAAAACCTACGCTACTTACATTGAACAATCAAGTCGAACGGCGCGCTGTACGATTCGCCCTCGGAATTTCTCGCTGAACATGCATATTGTCCGGCCGACTTCTGGTCAATATTTTTTATGGTCAAAAGGTCGAGATGGGGCAGGACGCCGCCCGTCTCGTTGTACGCAACGAGGTGATTCTGGAACAAATAAAATTTCGTTATTAAATGGAGGGCTTCGTTTATGGTAATCGATAGAAGGGGAAAGGAATAATATCCCTCGTGGAGAATATTGTTCCTTCTAAGAAGAAAATGGTGAAAATATGGTTATATGGTTTGTTGAAATGTTGTAGGGAAATTTATGATAGTGTTGTTTAAGGAAAGAAGAAATATGCTGGGGTTTGTTGGTAATCAAGAGAACAGAAGGGAATATTATGGAAAAATATGGTTATAAAGTTTGATGAGATTTCTAAGGTAATAGAACGATAGACCTGTTTAAAGATAAGATAAATTTGTATTTACATATGCCTGCATATTTATCATGCACAGTGTGAATCAAAATTTGAAGTACATTTTGTCCACTGCCTTCGATGCAATATATTTTATATAAATATTTTTATTCAATTTATGTATTAAACACTTTCTTTACCTAAAACCATTATTTATTGAATAATTTTCGTTTTTTTGAATATAAAATATCTATTGTCTCTTTTTACTACCTAGTAGATATTTATCACTAAGAGTATGAAACAGTTAACTAAAAATATCTACAACAAACATTTGGCTTTAGTTGAAGACGTAATTAGTTTAAGTTAAAAGTCTTCATTCGATCTATTAATAATATGTAGTAGTATCCCTTAATATTATTGCAAAACACTAAATTATTGAATAAATATCAATTTTGTTCACTTAAGGATACTACTAGAAAAAATACTAAATTGCGCAAAGAATCCTAAATACCATATGACCCAGGCGTCCAGTTGGCTTGAAAATTACGATGAATGACAGTCCCCCTATAATTTTACATATAAAATGACAGCTACCTTCATTTCGTAGCCATCGCTGACGCTGTTTTTTTCCATCAGATTTGATAACCGATAGGACATAGAATTTAAAAATATTGTTAACTGTTTATATGTTAAAAGTAAACTGAATTCATGAAAACAAACATTAATGATGGGAAAAACCGATTAATTTCAATAATAGAGTACTCGAGTATTAAGCGATTGCAATAACCGAGTGATCACTCGAGCGAAATATCGCTCGTATTTAAAAATACGGTTTTTTGGCCGTCGCATGTTGTAAGTACTCGTTAACGCCAAGCGCCAAGCAGTAAAGCTGCGTGCGCAGAGCACATATTCTTTCGGTAATGAACGGCAAGTAGTAAGCAGCGAGCGATTCGCTTGATCGCCTGATTTACTTTATTTCGAAGCATTGTCGATGTAGGTCGTAAAATTTTGTCTCTCATATACGCAACGGATAAATATACCGCGTACTTTTTTATTTTTCAGATAAAACAACGAGGTTCGGTATGTTAGTATATGACATAAATTAGGATTGATTGACATATTCAATTGTTTTCGGTCACTTGACTGCAACTTTTGATTTTTAAATCGCACCCTCGGTATTTTTTTACTTTATTCGGTAGAAAATGACACTCTGAATAGAATGACATATCACATGTCAACTTTTGACATTTTCGCATATGGTTTATTTGAAACTGTAACATGCGGTTCATAACGACAATTTGACTCGAAGTACCAAGTGTGTGGTATCAAATTATTCGTAAAAAAATTCTTTTTCGAAATATGCCCTTGTTCCATTTTAAAAAAATTGAGATATGGTCAAAAAGACGATTTGGGCATCTTTTAACCGGACAGGGCAAGACATTAAAAACATTAGACGATCAAATCTATTTTTCCAAGTCTCCTTGATTAAAAATTTGTGTTTTTAACACAGTCATGGCATTCTAGATTGAAATTTAAAATACAATTTGTTTTTAAGCGAATATCTCAAAAGTTGACATATGATATATACGTCATTCTATTTAGAATGACATTTTCTATCGATTTAAGTAAAAAAATGCCAAGGGTGCCATTTAAAAATCAAAAATTGTAGTCATTTCCAGTGAAACAGGAATAAGAAAACAAATGAATACGTCAATCAATCCTAATTTATGTCATATACTAACATACCAAATCTCATTTTTTTATCTAAAAAAATAAAAAAGTAATAGGGGTGACACTTTTGAGACGCACCCGGTATATACGGCGTCATATAAATTTGCTCCCTGCAATGTATGTAGAAAATTCGCTCGGGTTTTTATCGAGTTTAAAACATAATTAAAATCGGATTTCAATTTATTTCATTCTAGGATCGATTGGTTCTCGTCACTTGCATCGCTCGTTCATAACCGAGCGATGTCGGTTATTTCAATAATCGAGTACTCGAGCGAATTTTCGCTCGAGTTATCACATACTACAAACATTACTCTGGATACAGACTCTCTACATAACTATAGATTTTTCGATATTGACAAGCCACTCGTGAAAATGAGAGATAAATTGTTTCTGCCATATTTAATGTTTGTATCATAATTTGTCCGATTATATATTTAAATAAGGATACAAGCACATGAAAAGAAGATAATTCACTTAAGCTCAACAGCCAACTTGACAACGTTATTTTCCGACGATCATACGATCTATTTTTTAAGTAATAAAGGTATATTATTGTCACGGTCGTTTTACCATCACATCCGTTATAGTAAAGAACGGTGAATCATATTCTCAGGAATTATGAAATACTGGCCTCTCAAAGTTTTCCAATATTTATCCAATTAATATATGACCGGATTGTTACAAATTACCATTTATTGAAAAATGTGTGTATATATTGAATATATTCATCTTATATTATATTAAAATTGTAGAGTAGCCAACAAAGGATCAATGAAATATAAGTTAAACTAAAGGAGCTATTTCGTTTGACATGCTTTCTTAGATTAGTAATGAATAATAACGGGTCAACAAATAGAGATATAGATATTTTAACCAGTAACCCAGTTGTAAAAGAGATTCCATCTTATAATTTTTCGAAAAATATTAAAGTAAAATACCATAAAACTCTACAGCACAGATATAAAAACTTTATATACTTTAATGTGGAGATGACGCAATAAGTTGTCATCCAAATCTTTGTTACAAAAAGAATTACATGGTAATGTCGAAGGGAACCAAAAAATATGCAAAATGCATATTTCTTTTGTTTTGTATATTTTTTAATATTAAGAAACTGTACCAAAATAAAACAAAATAAATGTACGAGTAAGAATTCTAGGTTTTCCGTAATAAAGAAATATACAATATTTAATAATGGTAGGATTTCATTAGATAAACACCATACTGAACCTCACTATTATGCAAATATTCCCAATCTGTAAGAACAGTGTAATATTTTTTTGATACACAGTTTTGATAGTTGGTGTATTTTTTTGCTAAATGCATCGGTTTGACGTTTGTGTTTAAGTTGTATTTAAGATTTGATCTCGAGAACGTATTCTGTTAGGTATATGTGTTGACGTTACGAATATTAAAACAAATTTGGATAGTTTTATTTAACTTCTAGAATAAAATGACTCGCTTTTGAGTATGACAAATAGAATGTTTCACATTTTCATTACAGATATTTATTTTTATTTGCATATATTTAATTATTTATTTTCAACAAAATCCTTGCTTTAAAAAAATATAGGCATATTTTTTTATTAAATTGCATATTTTAGTTTTCCTAGTCATGTCTAATAGACGGAGAGCTGGCTACATAAAAAAACCTTATCATCGTTACATCGCTAACTTTTCTTGTGAAGTATCCTTTTGTGTAGCCATTGTGGAACAGTCATGTTTGCCAGCGCGATCCCGGGGCTTAAAGCGGGAGCGGCCAATCGAAAGGGTGAAATTTTGACACTAAAAATATTATCAGGTACACGAGTTATAATAATTGCCAAATAGTTTTTATTTATTATTAAGAAACGTGTAAAATTGTTGACAGATATTTTTCTTGTGGCTAAAATGACGGCAAACAACACGAAAGAGGCATGGAATTTTAACAAAAAAAATCGTTGCATACATGCATGTCGAGTGATGGAATGTCATGTTTATTGTTTATTTATTTAAAAAGCCGTATGCAAAAGGGCAGACAAATAAATCGTGGCTCAATCAGCGGTAGATAATTACCAAAAAGGGCCATATTACTCTACAGGGTGAATATTGAATAAGAGCAAAAATTAGCCATGTAATGATGATAAATTTTTTTCTGTAGCCAGCTCTTAGACTATAAGAGTATAAAGAAATTGGTAACCTAGAAGCGCGAAAAATGTTATCCGTACTATATATTTATATCGACATTTTTGCAAGAAAATTAACCACCTAAACAGACATACAGGCGCATTAAAAGAACATCACTCTTACAAAGCTAAACAGAGCGAGCGTAGAGATACTGTCTACTAGACGGCTTTGTGTAGCAAACACATAATTCTTGCACCCGGAGCCTTCTTTACCAAACGTCCGCCCGCAAAATTCGTAATTTCTTTTCCGCCGCCGCTGCCACTTTTCTATTTCCTAGCCGAGATAAGGCGTCGCGCATAATATTACCAGACCCGTCCCGTAAAATATTGTACGCCGTACGCCGCTCCGGGCATTATGATTGTGCATTATCGCGTACGGGCTAACGCGCCAGCACAATATTTACATAAGGCGGCATCGTATTTTTCGCTAACCGGTCTCAGCGACGAATTCAATATGTGTCAACTTTGTTGCGTTTGATGCAAAGCCTCAAACAAAGGTTGGTTTGGATGTAAGGTGGTGGCTGTAAATTTTCGCGCCGTGGATAGATTGCGTGTCCTGATCAAAATATTACGTGTCGTTGGACCGTTACTGTAGGCAAGCTTAAAAAACAATGTATAATATGTAAGCTATTTGAGAAAAAAATTCAGTTTTTAAAATTATAGATGTATTTTAATTTATTACAATCCAAATGTTTTTTCGGCAGTTTGATTTCGGAAAAGGTCAATATCAACTCTGAAATTCAGCACAGGATTAGCAGCGCTTCAAGAGCATTCTGGAAATTAAAAGACCAAACTTGCAGTGTACCGAGCAATAATAATTCCCACCATATTATATGGAAGCGAAACCTGGGTGCCG